GCTCTTGTCTTGACTGTCAAAGAACAGTTTTTTTTCCCTCTTTTATCTTCTTCATACAATTTGTTGCACTCTGTAGTTAATATAGAGTTAATTATATGTGTATAAAGTCAATTGAAAATATATCTCAGGGGGCTGGTGCTGTGGCGCAGCTGTTAAAGCCCTGGCCTGAAGTGCTGGCATCCCATATGGGTGATGGTTCTAGTCCCGGCTGCTCCTCTTCCAATCCAGCTCTCTGCTCTGGCCTGGTAAAGCAGTATAAGCAGTAGAAGATGCCCAAGTCCTTGGGCCCCTGCACCCATGTGGGAAACCAGAAGAAGTTCCTGGCTCCTGGCTTTGGATCGGTGCAGCTCTGGCCATTGTGGCCATCTGGAGAGTGAACCATTAGATGGAAGACCTCTCTCTCTATCTACCTCTCTCTGTAACTCTGTCTTTCAAATAAATAAAAAATAAATCTTAAAAAAAGAAAATATGCCTTAGTAAAAAAATAAGAGTGGAATAAGAAAGTGAGGAAGAAGTTCATAACTTTAAAGCTTTATAGTTCTGTGTACATTTCTACAGACTTGCATCCAAGAGTTCAGTTTAAAACTTACCATGGGACCTCAAATCCCATTAAGCTTGTTGGTAAAAATGCCATCTTAAGTGATAAAGGGATTATATTAAGTGTTAAAGTGATCATATAGATCGGAATAAGTGTTTAAGGGATCAAATAAATAAGATCAAGTGTTTTGTAATAATAATGGATAGAATTAAAAAGGAGACAGTGTTCAAACATGAGAAGCAGTTCACCCAGCAGACTCATAGAATGACAATCGCTCTAAATAGCACTCTGATCTTAGAATCAGCCCTTAAGGCACTCTGGTCTTGCTGAAAAGCCCATGAGAGCATTTTAGGCATAGAAAGCCAAAATTCTGTAGCACAAAAAAAGTCCTACATGAAGGATCTCTGTGAGTGAGACCCCAGTGGAAAGAAGTGGCCATCAAAGAAGGATGTACTTTTCTCTGAAGGGAGGAGAGAACTTCCACTTTGCTTATGGCCTTGTCTATATACTAATAGAGATTGTGGATTCAAAAGGCTTCCAAAGCCTAGAAAGCTCATGTCAGGAGACTCAGGTGGTCAATGAGGTCATATGTAAGAGTGATAATTGTTAAATTAGCAACAGGAGTGTACTCACTTGCCATGCAGGACCTCTGTCCTCAATGAATTGTATTATAAGAATTAACTGAAAACTTGTTCTCAAACAATTTTTTGTGTTTGTTTCCAAATTGTTGAAATCTTTACTTGGTATACAGTTGGTCTTCTGTGCATAAGGTTAATTGAAAATGAATCTTAATAGAGAATGGGACAGGGAATGGGAGAGAGAGGAGGAAGTAGGGTGGGAGTGGGCTAAGGAGGGTGGGTATGGTGGGAAGAATCACTATATTCCTAAAGTTGTACTTATGAAATTTGGACTCATTAAATAAAAGGCTTCTTTAGGAAAAAGCCAAACAAAAAATCTGCATATATAAAATACTTGAAATTTGTCCACCTTATATAATAGAAAGTTTGTAAAAAAATGAAAAAAGAAGTAAATTTAAAGTGATTTTGTCATATGTGGGGATATCCACATTAATCTTTTTTGCTCATATAGTAGACATATAGTATCATATATAGTCTTATCATATATAGTATCATATACGGTCTTAAACACACAGGCACACATGCATGCACATACACAGAACATGAAATTTAGGTTGCCATCTCTTTAAGGTAACCACTTCCTTGCAGAGAAAACAAGTGCAGTGTGGCAATAAAGAAACCTGCTCCTGGGAGTCTCAGAACCCGGGTCTGAGGTTCAAAGCCATGCAGACAATTATATATGAAAGCTCCCTCACTCTCACTTCTTTTGTACTTTGTTTTATCTCTCATCATTATCTTCTTTCAAATTATTCACCAAACATCATCTTCTGCAAAGTATGTTTTTGTTATTTAATATTATCTTCTGAACATCACCCTCGATTCTGCTCCATAGAATCTGGAGCTATGTCCCCACAAACCTGTGGGGAGCAACTGGGAGCAACTCGGACTAGACTAAGTTACTGGAATTAAGACTGATTCTATGCATCTGCTCTCCCACAATATGGCACTGAGAAGGGAGAAACAGCTTCTAAACAGCTGCATCCAGTTCAACCAATAAACAGCAGGACCTGCTCCTGATTGGAGGAGAGCAGCGTACTCGGCGTGTGGGTAGCAGAGTTGGGATTGGCGGAAGAGGGCTATAAAGGAGGAGAGAGACAACATGCACCAGGAACATCTATCTGAAGGAACACCTGTGCAGCCCCCGAGAGAGCCGGCCGGCGGTGTGCCGCTCCCCCGCGGAAGTGGGGAAGGTGGCAGGGGGAACCGCCCTTCCACGGAGGTGGAAGGGATGGTAGCCAACCCGGGAAGAACCAGCAGCAAACCCGGGGAGGGCCGAGCAGACCAAAGAACAGCACAGGGTCCTGTGTCGTTCCTCCACGAAGACGGGGAGCGACAAAACCTGTCCTCACAGAGTGAGGAACTGTCCATTCTAGTGCACTGCAGGGGTTCCATCCTGTTTTGCATTCCTTATTACAAAAGAGACAAAGAGAAGCTGGACTGATTAAATAAGTAGATGATTAAATAAGTAGGCAGACTAATTTCTGAATAAATATAGAGGGATACATTTCTCTCAAGGTCAACAAGTACTGAACAAAACAGTCTGGTAGCTCTACACGTTCTGGGCACATGAACTTAGGAAGGGACGCCATCAGTGCCGTGGGGCATGAATCACGTAGGGATGGGGCTGTGAAGTTAAGGAAGAGAAAAGTTATCACTGTAACAGCATTCAGAAATCTCACATTGGGTGTATGCGCTGGACAGAGAGCCATGCTGGTAATAGGATAGGTGAAAAATCAGTTGTGCTTGAATAAAACATCTTTAAGTTTCTTCAGGTAGCCTAATTCTTTCTAACATCTCCCTTAAAACTCCTTTTGTGCAATCTAAACAGTCCTGCTCTGTTGGGAATGGCAACAGTGCTTTCCCTCCCAACTCTGGCCTAGCACTTGTTTTCCCTCAGCCAGTAAACCACAGTAAACCAAGTGCTACTCTAGCCTGTGAATACTTGCTTCCTGATTCAGGGCAAAGGAATTATGTTGTGGTTTCCTTCACATTGCTTCTTCTGGTGGTGTTCAAATCATTGTCCCTTTTCTGTCCACCTGATTGGTGCCAACAATTAAGTGATCTATGCTGAGGCTGTCCAAGAAAGTACCAGAAGGCATTGGGGAAGTTGCTTACACTGTGAGAACCTGTCTTCTTACCTGTAAAACACATATATGACTACAGTCTTGGGGGGGTTTCAGCAATTAATATTAGAAATAATATATGTAAAACACCTTGTATTGTCATTTACCTATAGTGTATATTCAATGGGTAACTTTCTGTTTTTGTTATAAATTGTATTTATTGGTATATGTAGGGGTTTTTCAAAAAGCTCATGTTGATGCTATTAAATAAATAATGCCATTTTATTTCAGTGCAAAAAAATTTGAAATCCATGTGTACAAGGGATCTTTAAAATAAAGTGAATGAAAAATATGTATTATGAAAAAACTATGGATGAATTGTAAAAATAGGATCCACCCTGTCATGTTGGGCTCAGCTGCTGTCATCCTACTTACCCTGGCCACAATTCCAGGATCCATTCTACATGTAACTTGGTACTAAATTTCTTCTGGAATTAAATGGTGTATAGGTCTTCTTTGGAAAACTCGGCTGACTTTTAAGCAGAGGAGCATATGCTCTGGTCCTTAATTTTTGTCATAATACTCAGCACCAAATGAAAATTTCCATGTATTCAGAAAGAATGTCTTATGTACCAGATATTGACAAATTCACAGTGAATAGGAAGTGAATTCCTAAAAAATAACCACCTGCCTTGATGTTGATGTGTTTGACCTCATGCTCCCCTGGGTGTAGCCAAAGATAACACTGTGATGATAATAGTAGCTGCCATCCATGTGGGTGGGGGAAGTGTGGAGGTACATACATGCCTATGCGTGCCTGTGTAGGCATGTGCTTTTTTGTTTCTTTTGTTTCTTTGTATGTGTGCAGATGTTTTCTCATGGTCACGACAACCCTTATGAATTTGATGTGCTTCTCCCATTTTACTGAGGAAATACTCCAAACTCAGGCATGATATATTCTCCAGAGGGTGCACAGGTGACCTGTCATGTCTGCAGTTTCCCCAGCACTGGCTGCCTCACTCCAAGAAGCAGTAGAGGTTTGCGGCCTCCTTGGTGACAGGCTTCATGGAGACAACCACTCAGCCTGTGGGAGGAACCAGGACAGTTGCCCTGGCAGATTCTCCTGCCCATAGCCTGTTAGCTCCAACATCCAGGATGCAGTTCTTGGCCTTGACTTCTGTGAGGGACAGGAAGGGAGTCAGGCCAGCTGGCCGTGGGTTGCTCCTTTCACCTGCCAGGGGTCTGTGCACCTCCCAACACAAAACTAACTAGCGGATTTTAAGGGAGTTCAGCAGATACGCAGAAACAGTGTTTCTGGAAACATGAATATTAGGGAGTGAAAGAATAATATTCTCTGATACATTATTTTTTAATTACCCATGGCATTTTGTGATGTTTGTGGTCAAACCAGAGTGTCAATTCTGGAGGATCCACACTTTGCATCAAGTGTTATGTGACATTTTCTCTGCTCCACAGGAAGCCCATCCGCATGCTATTCTTAGAGTTTTATGTTTCCCACATTGTAAAAGCCATATGTGCTGATGAATCTGCCTGTAACATTTCCCTGACCAGTGTCCGTGGTTCTAGAGCCTGAGACTTACTTCAAAGGCTGTATGAAAAGAATCTGTTATCTGCCTGTGTTCAACCAGAAGAATGTCTCTATTCAGTTTTTAAATATTAGATGTAAGTCTGTTCTAATGGCAGTGGATCCCTGATTTATCACTAAACTGACAGCCATGCTTTCATTTTTATACAAACCAGTGCCTTTGGCTGCCCGTATTCGGACATGAACTTGAAAAAGGAGGCAACGCTTCATGATCGTCTGAGAGAACTAACACAGGCAAATTTTGAATCAGAGTCTTCACATTCAAAACAGAAAAACCTCTGTAGTTTGAGCTTCAATGGGAAACATGAAAAGGTGAACAGTCAGCCCAGGTAAGAAACTGAAAATATGAACCAGGCCGTAAACCATGTGCAATAGTACAGGAACAAATTTGTTATTAGTAATAGTTCTTATATTTCTTCAAAATAATTCCTTGTATTTCTGGATGTTGCTATGTTCTCTGTTTCATAGAATTTACTAAGCCTTGATCATCAGTTAGAAAATATTCCTGTTGCTTTGTCCCCAAATATTTTAGTTTACTTCTTTCTGAATGTACATATTATATGTAGGAAACAACTATATGTAACTGTATACTTCTAGAGGATTCCCTACTTTCTTGAAAATGTCTTTATTCCTTGGCATCATAGACATTCCATAGATACTACTCTTCATCATGGCCCAGTACTTGTATCCACTTGGTTGTATGAGGTCTGACCTGTTCCTGGCTTCTGTTGTCTTTAAGCCAGACTCACCTCACATGTGATCTCTGCTCACTGAATAGTTTCCATTTAGATTTATTGATGACACATCATCCTTTTTTTCTGTATATAAATATGATTTTAAGTATAATTTTCAATCTTTATTTGCATATAATTATTTTCAAAACAGCTATAAATACAACTTGATTTGACATTATTTAACCTAAAGGAGTAAACAATCTAAATAACATTTTCTTCAGAGAGTTCCACACTCTGTGGGGGGGACTGTAAACACAGGAAAGTGGAACCTTAAGTAAACAACAGGAAATCCCACAGGGACTGCCAAGAAAAGCTAGACAAGAACTGAAAAGCAGGGGTCTCCAGACCCTGCCACAGACAGAAGTCAATTGTGTCTGAGGCTACTGCTCCTTCTGCGTGCATCAGGTGAGAAGGGCGTGCTGCTCTGGAGTGCAGTTGCCCCAGGCCATGGAGCACCTCCTTCCCAGCAGCACTGCTGCTCCTTTACTCCCACAGGGGCACCTGTTCCTTGGTAGAATTTGTCTCATAGGACAGGCTTTTCACAGGTATTTTAGAGCTGTGAATTTTGTTCTTATTTTATGCAAATGTGTTTTAGAGCATTTGGGTGACATTTCATTTTTGTAGAATAGCCTATCTCAGTTTGATGGTTCTCTCTGGGCTGCAGGTTAGCTTTCCTCTCGATTGCATGATATATTTCCCACGGATATGCATGCCTGCCTCTCTCTTTTTGCATCCGTATCTTGCATATTTATTATTTGTTACACATCCACTCCTCTTGTTGAAACTTCACAGGGTCTACTTGTTCTTTACTGTTTTTCACACCCACACTGTTTACAACTTAAGTAGTTGAGAGCTTGAATGTCTTTTCCATTTCTTTGCTGAGGGAGAATTTTTTTTTCTATTTTTTTAATGTTTTCCATGGAACAGTGTCTATTCTAAAATTATCAATAGTATATACACTTGCCTTTTGTTCTTTTTGCTATCTTCTATTGTTCTTGTTCCAAATAAAAACCCAGTCTCTTTTGCAAATATTTTAGACATTCATCCTCATTGTCAAAAATTACAGAGACTAAACAGATCTTTGAACTGTTTTCTTAAAAAAAAGTGATCCCACCGTTGTAGTCTCTCAGAGGCTAGCTAAACTGTTCTTTCTAACAAACACAGACATATTGCCTCCCCTGTGCAGAAATCTTCTTAGGAATTTACCTTTCTTTTTTTTATTTGATTTTATTTTTTGACAGGCAGAGTTAGACAGTGAAAGAGAGACAGAGAGAAAGGTCCTCCTTCTTTTGGTTCACCCACTCAAAGGAATTTACCTTTCTTGATATATTATTAGGGACTTTTTTTAAAAGTCCATTTTTGAAAGTGTTTTGCACTTTAATATATCAGATAGGCTTAGTTACTACAGATAGAACGAGTGGAAGATGTTAGCTGATAGCAGAAAAATTTAGTTCTGCCAAATCCTGATTGTCTACAGCTGTGTAAGTCACTGAGGAACAGGGGTAGTATTGTGCACATCATGAATCCTAATGCTGCCTTTTACTTTGAAAGCCCCAAACCAAAGCCATCCTTGCACTCCAGTCCCTTTCATTTTTTCCCCAGCCAATCATTATAGTAATGTTTGACTACATAATATTAGAAGTCTGGCCCAGTTGAAATCTGTGCCATGCCCTCTGCTACCACAACTCCATGACATCCTGGCTTGAATTCTGGGGTGAGGAAAAAGAACAAGGAATAGGGTGAGGTGGACTTCAGAAAGGACATGGAAAAGTGGATTTCTTTTCCATGAACTTTGTGGAGAGCCCTCATCTGTAGACCAATAGTGCACAGACAGCATTCCTTCTAAGTGTCCTCCCAGTCACAGTCCTCGGCTGGGACTGCCTTTCTCTCTCCCAAACCTTTGCTCTTGAAATCAGATCCAGGTGGCAAATATTTAAATTCCATCTCTTCTCTTTCACATGTGGAAAAGAGGTAATTTTTTTACCTGTCTCCTGTATAAGGACAGGAGTGGGGTTTTGATTGTTGAAAATTGGAGCTACAGTTTCCACTGGCCTCCAGACAATCCATGGAGCATAAGCTGTGGGCCAGGCTTGTGTAATTGCTTATACAAGCAGCACTTGCCACCTCAGAATCTCCAGACTTCTTACCATTTGAGTGCAAAATATAAAATTAACTCTGCTTTGATATTCTTCCAGAATCAATTAGACACTGCTCAGCAATTTAAAGAATTTTGTCTTTTCCTTAACTGCACTCCAGTTTTCTGATTTTTTTAAAACGTATATTTGTTCCCTTATTATTCTTTGGGGGTGGGGTGGCAGTTACTAGTAAACTGATGGCTCCACTGCATGATGGAAATATTCTGTTTATGTTCACATTTTTTAAGGAGAGCATCATTATTTAAATTAGAATAGATTATGTACTACTAGATGTTCGCAAGATTTACCTCCAAAACAGTCAGACATGCATCTTAAGTTAATTCTCCAAATTTGGACTCATGACAGGTCACTATTATTGAGACTGTGTGTGTGTGTGTGTGTGTGTGTACTTTTTCTGACCTTTTTATGCTTCCAGAAGTTAAGAGATTGTGTTCTTTGTGCTGATAAAGTGAGTTGTAGTATATTCACAGTGTATTAGGTGGAGGCAGTGACCTTATACTTGGGTTCCTTTTGTTTGGGTATGTGCTTTGGAGTGTGTGTGGAGGATACTTCAATTTGCCTAACAGTTTATAATTTTTGCAACCATGATCTTTGCAGCTTCCCATCATCTTGCGCTTCAAGCAGAGGACACACTATTGTTATCATTGTGTTGTTGGTTATAGGCAAGGAGATAGAGACATTTTAGAGATCTGAGACTCAGATATGGATCTTATGATTAAATCTAGTGTTTCCAAGTCCAATAAAGCAATTATAACACCAGAAGTATCAATAATAACTATGTGCTTTCCTGTAATATTGCACACTTCTTTTGGGTAACCAATGTGCTACACAATTTATATGCATCATCTTGCTGATTTTATTGCATCTTCACAATAAGGTGTGTGCAGTGGGTTTTCTTATTCTGATTTTTTTTTCCCTTAGCACCTGAAAATTCAGAGAGTTTGGGCAAAGTGTCCAAGATCACATAAATCAGCAGTGGAAAAATTGGAATTTGAATCCAGCACTATAGGATTCCAAATTGCACACTTGTGTCCACTGCACTAGGCCAGAAGGAGAATGACAGTTTCTGTTTTTGAGGAAGACTGGCTGGATTTATATTTATGTTATGTTTTACTTCTTTCTGTGATTCCCAGGGTCATCTTGTGATGTATTTGTTTCTTATTTTATGAAAACTACTGAAGGGGAAGAAGCTTACCATGGTTTCCTTGAAGTGTTTATCCTTATTTATACTATAAATAATACCAGATTTTCCTTTGTGAACACATTTCATTGTAATATACTAAAGACATCTATCTGCAACAGGAGAATAAAATTATAGTCATTAAGACATTTTCATCATAAAATTACTTTGGGATGCAATTGTCTCCCACCTCTTTTTAGCTTCTTGCCTCAGGCCTGAGGAGGATGTTTCTTTCAGACTTTTCCCACCCACATAAATTTTCTTTAATAATCTTTTTGGGTTTTTTTTTCTTGGCCTCTCAAAAGCAGGGTTCAATATAGTATTCAAATTCACACAATTTATAGCACCACCATTCAATAAAATATCTGTGATATTCAATCGTTGCTATTAAGAAAATCTAAGGAAAATGACTAATTAAAGCTTGCTTTGTTTTTTCTGATCCCTGCATATGATAAATTTTATTCACTTCACGAAGGTCTTTACTGGTAATAAAGATGGCTGAGGAAAATTATGGCAATCAGAGGGAATGGCATGCAGTGGAATAGTTCCTTAATGATTCTCAAAATAAATTGCAATGCCATGAGCTAACTAGGTTGAGTAGTGGAAACTACTCAAATTAGCTACAGTATAAATACCTTCCATGAGGGCCATTTTCAGAATTATAATTGTATTAGTTAGTTGTTCCACATATTAACCTCCAAAGTTAGTAAATAAGTTTTCTTTAATCCATCAGGCCTTTCTCCTCTTCTTCCCACATGGAAGTCCCTGCTTTGGGGCTAAAGCTGCTGCATGTCCCCATTTGCTCCCATTCTCATCCACAATTTGTCGATGCCTACCTGGAAGCCTTCTTTGCCAGCCTTTATCCATCCTTTATTCCTGCCTCATTCTCCTCCCTTCCCCAAGGCTTATCTCTGTCTAAAGTTTTCTAAACATCCCAACCTGTATTAGCTTCTTGAATGTAGAGATTGGGTTTTACAAGTATCTATATTTATAACAGTATAATGCCTGACACTTGGTAGACACTCAAGCTAAATAGATTTTGAGCAACCACTGCTTGCAGAGACAGTGGTAGGCACTGGGATAGTGTTAAGTAAGAGATAGTCCATCCCTTGCTCCCAGCATCCCACTGACCTTTGGTGTTGTATTACACATTAGCTTCTATATGTGACTTCCTGCATGTTCTGCTTGAATCCTTGTTTTGTGTGGGTGCCTTCTCAAGAAGATTGTAGGCTGCTAAAGAGAAGGACCAGTGTTCACTA